AATGCATGAACTAGTTTTTCAGCGTCACTCTGAGACAGGATATTTCTAACTTTATATGTGTATATAAGAATATATTATGGCTTTACAGGATTTGTAAATCATCACGTTCTGGGTTTTTTTTACATTTTACTCAGCGTTCCAACTTTTTTAGCCCTGTGGACGTATCGACATAGTGGGAGTTCAAAACAGGTAGATTTCGAAGCATCAAAGAGAGAAACCAGGTCACTGTTGCCATGTGCTTTGCCAAGAACTTCACAACAGTCGAAAGGAAGAACTCATTGTAAACACAAAAAGCTGTCTTCAGCAGAACCAGGTCAGACACCTGGCAGAAAGACAAAACATCAACTACGAGAGAACGAAGGCAAAGAGTTAACCGAGTGTCTTTTTTTGCCATCAAATGAGTTTTTATTTTCTATTTAATTGTGATTATTCCTGTCTTTGTACTGTGCGTTGTGTCTTCATGCTTGTGAGAAATCCTTACTTACCATAACCATTATCACTGTAGGACGATGGGTGTTCGCCTAAAATGGCCTGTCTCTGTCTTCCCTTTCCACGGTCTGAAATACAAACAAATACAGATAACACAAACAAATTATGTGAATGCGAGAAGATTTTACATATACTGATTTAAATGACATTAAAGAACACTTGGAAAGTGTTTCATTCATTCACTGAATCGTTAGAGATCTGTTAGTACCAATCAAATGGTCCATTAAGGCCAAATGCTTGAACGGGCTGGCCTGACTGTCTGACTGAGCCTATGTTTGGCAGTGCTTATGTGCTCCCAGATCTCAGCGATTAACTTGATGATTAAAGTCTTAATGTGTGACAAATAAATAATACTCGACTTCATTATACTGTTTGACAGACAGTCACAAAGTAAACAAACACAACCAGAAGACAAGAAAAAGTGTCCTCCACTAATCAGAAGGCTGACAGTTCAGTTCCCAGCTCCAAACAAGCAAGTTAATCCTAAAAATGCAAATACAGGAGGTTAACAACAAGGTGGGAACCATAATTCAAGAACAGGAAGGCCAGATTAGAAACCAGAAACCATCTAAAAGAGTCGAGTTTCAGATGAAACCCAAATAAATGCACCAGAATGATGAAAATAGTAAAGAATTCAAAAGAAATGGAAAGTGTACCACATCATCTATCAGACATGGTGGAAGGCAGCAGTGAATGACTGCGAGAGGAACAGGGTCACCGGCGTTTATTGATGATGTGTCTGCTGGTAAAAGTCTGAATTGTATGGTGCTAGAGTCTCTGCTCAGGTTCAGTCAAATGAATCGACACAGCGCTTCACAGTACAAATGGATCCTGCCAAAGAAACCCAAGAGTGTCTCCAAGCAAAGACGTGGGAAACCTTTCAGTGGTCAAGTCAGTCACCTGATCTCCACCCGACAGAGCGTGCTTTCAGTTACTGAAGGAAAGAGACCAACAAAAAGCAGCAGCTGAAGTCGGCTGCTCCAAAGGCCTCGCGGAGCGTCTACAGGGAGGAGACGGTATTTTGGATTCTTGACTATATCTTTAAAAATCAGAGCCAGTTATTAACAGTGCTACATTTAAAACGATGCAATGTTGCAATTTTGAGTTCGATCAATCACGACTCACATCTGGAGCATTCATGAAATGCACGTTTTACAGTTCGACAAAAAGGCCTCCTGTTTCTACCAGTGTTCACATTCCTGCAGAAACATCACAGAGGAAATCTGTTTCCTCCATCTATGTTTATTATGGGATTCATTAGGAACTGAGGCGTAGCTTCTATCTGATACTGTGCCCATGAAAGAGAACGACACACGGTCCTGCAGAGCCCTACGGCCACGGCAGATGTTGCTAATAGCTGAGATCTGAGACACTAACACACAGAGTCACTGAAATATTGCCCTGGCTTTCCCAAATATTACATTATATTACAGTATTATAATAAATATCATTATGACATTTTCTTGGACTGGGAATAACACAGACAACTAAGAATGCTGCTGCTTAACACAGTTTTTAATACATCAGATAAACTCTCAGTTTTAACACGAGCACAACAAGCATGCTCAGCGGCAGACTACATGTGAAGGTTATTAATGTCCTTTATGTGCCTTCATTGTGTTTCCGGTTGAGTTGAGTTGGCCAAATTAAAACGGTCGTGCTTTGCACATGACAACTCATGAGAAAGAAGATTTTAACGATGCCATCTGTCATGCAGAGATCAGAATTTCAAATGAAAAAGATCAGAAATGCCTGCCCTGAAGAAACGTGAGGTGATGAGCAGCTGCTGATTTTCTACAGTAGTTTTTTGTGTGTGTTTGTGCACATTTATTTCTATTTATTTAATCCCAGCTGCTCCCAAAAAATAACAACAAAACTACTTATGGTGGTAATGGAGGTGAAAAAATAAGAAAAACAGTTTTGTGGTGGTTTTATTCAGAGAAAAGCAGGAAAAACGATACAACAACATGTGAACAGAGATAAGAAAGAGACAGTACCTGTGAGGCATCAAGCTTTCTCTTTTTTCTCCCTCAGCACAAAAGAACATCAACCTGCATTACATTATCATCACAATGATAAAAACATGACCATTATCAAAACAGAAGAATTACATCCTGTATATGCTACACACATGTTGGAGGCACACTGACATGACACAGACTTACTGCCGGGATAGCGTCTAATCACAACACGTCTGTGTGCAGTGCTGTGTATCAATCCCTGTGTCACATGGCTGAAATATACACCCACTCAGGATAGTGGAGACAAACTGGACTCCATTTCAGTGACTCAAACTGGGATGACACAACCAGTTTTACGTTTACTTTCCACATGAGGCCAGGTAGGTTTGGAGATGTATATATATATATGTTTGTTTGTTTTCCATGAATAAATGAAATCATCGTTTTATATCGACTGTATTTTTGTCAACGGCTAAAATCTGAAACGTTCCAGTGAAGTCAAGTAGGTGACAAACAGTTTTTCATTACACTGTAGAAATATGCACTGCAGTGAAATCAAAGCGTTCACAGGACTGTGACCTATCAGATCATTAAAGCAACATACAACACGCTTCATTGCAACTTTCCTTTCTCAGCTCCCAGATGGTGTTAAATGTATCATATAAATAATTCACGAACTATTTTTGTATTCTGGCAAGAATTTAACAGTAAAATACTCGTTTTGCTTTTCCCTGCTGAGCTTAGCAGATTTAGATCATTTAGTTTTGCCTGCTTGTGTATTAAAGTATCTGCTATGATGATAATGATGAGCTCGGTGACCTGACTGCATGAGTTTGGGTTGTCTGACAACAGGCAAAGATGTTGTGAGAGGATCTGTAGTTGACGAGCCAAAACAAACCAGAACATCCGACTGTATGATTGCAGCTTATGTATGTTTATGATGTCTGTACCCAAACGCACATCGTCACCCCTACACCTGCTGATCTTTTGTTCTCCGTTTGCTTTGTTAAATGTTCAGCTTACATTATTTGCACATCACCCAAACGTAACATAAGATTCACCCAAATTTCTGTCTGTGATTGAATTTTGTTCTAAACACGGAATGAAGAATTTTCTTAAAGTGCTGCTAGCGACAACAAAAATATATGGTACTGCCTATTTTATAGAGAGTAAAGCTGCTTTTGTTGTTCCCTGCTTCACAGCAAGGGGGCCACATTTTGATTTTTCCACTGGATGCTTTTCCTGTTGCAGCTCTCCAACGGAGTTGCACCTCCTCCCAAGATAGAGGATCCCCTGGATGCTAATCACTGTGCTATGATCCAGTTTCTTTCATGGACAGTATATTTTTACAATCGTGTGATCTCACAAAAGCAAACCCCTTCGACATCATGTCCTCTTTATGATCGATTAATAGTAGCAGCAGTTATTGGATGA